ATTGGACTGTGAAGTATCTATTTGTAAAAGTAATGATGAATTGATCATCGGGGCGGATGCGTTGCGCGTCAGACCCGTGGTCCACCGAAGCCCTTTTCATTTCAGCTGCACTTCACGAGCACCAGCACAGCCTCCATGTGACCGCACACACGGATCCATGAGCTGAACCACACCAGAGATGTTCTTTATTCTCTCCTTTCTCTCTTTTCTTTCTGTTGCATAGACATTAATTCAAGTCGGACTCATGCAAATGGACGACGAACACGAGAAAAGAGAGAGAAATGGGAAAAGAAAAAAGAAAGTGGAGAGCGTAAAGAGGACGGATGAGAGACGTGATTAAAACACGGCGTCCACAGTTCAGTTCATCAACAATCTGACTTTATAAAAATAAGTGAGCTTGTTTAATATACCACATTATTAGCACTCTTTTTTAAAAAACAACAAAAAGAAAGGAGCAGAGAACTCTATGCATCAACAAGCCATCGAGTTAAATATGAATGTATTTGTTAAAGTTGAACACACACACACTCGTATGTTTGCCAGCCAATGTGTCGCTACTCATCCGGCTCTGTTTAGTATTGCTGTTACTTCACGTGAAGAGGGAGTCAGTGCAATGACCGAGGCCGGTGTGTGTGTGTGTGTGTGTGTGTGTGTGTGTGTGTGTGTTTCTGTTTGTGTACAAGTCAGTTGGTTGCATCTGTAAGTGTGCGTTAAACTAATCTAATCATCAAGGTCATCTTTGTGTGTATTTACATGTCTGTGTGTGTGTGTGTGTGTGTGTGTGTGTGTTAGTGAGGCCAAGCAAACATGCAGCATTAGTCTCTGACACTCTGACAAGGACAGAAAACCGAGCTGAGCATCAGTTTAGTTGGAATAAAAAATAAATAGAATTAAAATAAAAGAGCGTTGCTACACTTTCACACGCAGAGGAGGGACTCTGCCACAGAACTACAATAAATAGAATGAACCCCGATCCTAACGTGGCAATCCATCGATCACCGTAGCACAGCAGGAGGGACGAGAAGCATCAACATTCTGCTAAAGTTTACAACTAAAGTCTGAAAATAGTGATGCACTTTGATAGTACCTGTACAATAATGTACAAAACTCAACTTCAAGTAAAAGTCCTGCATTCAAAATAGAAAGTAAAAGTATTGCTAGTAAAATGTACTTTAAGTATCAGATGATTAATGGTTGTTTGTACGATCTGTATTTACATTTAACTCTAGTGGTTGTCATAATTATGACGGGAGTAGAAAATGAAGTCAAGTGGCGTTTAAAGTGTTGGGGGGGGGGGGGGGGGGGGGGGG